TTTGCTGCGGGTAATTAGCCGGGCTTTTGGAGTTTATATGCATTTAGTGCTGTAGAGAATTCTATTGCGAACACAATGATACCAAATTTAATCTCGTAGGACGAGAATTAAGGTGACAAAGTTGAAGAGAGTATATACTTTTCAGAATTTACGCGCGCTCCCGTGACACCCTGGGTCCCATATCGCAGAGTTGAAGGGTGGCGCGCGGGGTACGCCAAAGTGTTAAGACAGTTTTTTGCCAAGTAGTACTCTGAAAGGCATTGATATTACCAGGGATGAGGTAAGGAGGCATCAACTGGAACTGTACATGACTAAGACTTTTAGACCAGAAAGACACTCATTGTGGATAATAAAAAAAAAAAGGAGCAGAAAGTTGGAAGAAAGCTAGAAGATCCCAATATACAAGGGAGACAAACAGGAGGGATTAAATTGCATAGCAGTATCCCTAACTTGCTTACCTTGCAAGGGCCCCTCCCAAGTCAACACGCTGCTTTGGTGGGAGGATTGGGATAAAACAGATGGGCCAGTGTGCCCCACCTGAATCATTCGGTTTGTCTAGTTAACTGCCTAGTTAGACATTGAGTTAAGTGTAGGATTTGTATCCCTGTTGTTCCCTGGGATACCAATTGACCCTTTAGTGGTGACCTACGTTTGCTGTTTCAGTTACCCCTGAGGTTGTTTGACCATGTGCTTGTGCCTCCTCTAGTTGGGCTACATGGTGGGTGGGAGCTAAGCAACGAAGTCTAATACTGCTTTTTTTTTATTTTTAATTCTGACCACATATCTCATTCTCCAGCTCCTGAGTTGGACTGTGTCGATGATCAGGCTCCATAGCTCCGCTTGTGGTGGGATTTGTTATCCCACCACATCTAAAAATTTGAATCTAAAAGGCTACCCTTTTAGATTCTCTCTCTCCCCAAGCCTTGGTAGGGTTGACTTCATAGTTCTCAGTGGTGACTACCCCATTTCCTGGAGTGACTCAAACTTTGATGGTAGCTAGAGCACCTTTTGTCTTCCCTCTCCTTCCAGGAGGTTCAAGCCATCATCTTCACCATAAAGTACACACATTTCCCACAACAGCTGCATCATTCCAGGACCTATTTGGCCCCACTACATATCCCAAATATTTTTTATGTCTACCATGATAAGCATACCTACCTTGACAATTTGCACACACATGGACCCTTATAGACTCTGTGGATTCTGGTATTTCATTTACCCCCATCTGGGCTGGCTCCAGCAGTCGAGGCCTCGTATCTTACATTGGTGAGGCCCCAGTTCAGGTCTCAAAGAATGTCTCTTTGAATGTCAGTACTGTACTGTATTGGCAGAAATCCTCTTTCCACCTCACGGTGAGATAAGAGGTCAGAGAACTTGAGGACTGCTTTGAGGATATTAAGCATATCTTAACCACTGCACTGCGCAAAGCGCCTTTAGGCGCTCAGAGAGTTGTGCTTTTTGTTTTTTAATTTGGCTATATTTTAATGTTTTTTAATGTTTTCATTACTATTTGTGTTTTGAAATGGAAATAGTTGACTTTGGAAACATTTTGACATTAAATTTACCTGAACATTTGTAAAAATAACAAAAATATGTCCTTGACAATTGCACCAAGACGTTTTTGCCGAAAATAGGTGAGCAGTGCAAGGGTTAAAAGCTTAGGATTTTCTTGTCCTACAGGTTGACACATTCACTCGGCCTCCTCCCAGCCATTGTCATCATTCCCTTAAGGTGGGCAGTGTGACCTTTGATAGTTGGACAATCTCGTCTTCGGTAATTTTTGTTGGTGCCAGATGTTCCATTCAGTAATATATTCCCTTTCCATGCTTCTGCAGTAGCTGATGTAAATTCTGGCATGAATGTGATAGTGAGGTGTCTTTTTGCCCCTTATGTGGTTCCTCAGACCATTCTAGGACAAAAATGTTCTTTCCATGCTCATTGCATTAACTTGGGTGATGTCCACCCAGATTTTTTTTATGTGCTTGTCTCCATTATGAGTTTGATCAGGCCCTCCTCCACCTTGGACATCAATATCGCATTTCGTTCCCCCGAGCAAGATGCCAAATCTGCCCTCTTTTTCTATTTTTCTGGCATCACTAAATTAATGTTATCTACTGTCTCATAGAAAGATTATTATTGACTGTTGAGGAATAAAATATAAGTACAGCAATCATATTATTTCAAGTTGTCTTTGTGTTCACTTTACTACAAAATATCATTGGCACACTTGGCATTCCAAATAAAAAGCAGCAGGTGCCATGAATATGGAATATTGTTCTTGGATTACAGTAATCATAAAATTATTAATACACATTCAGTAATGTGATGAAACAAAGCTTTTGATTCACAAAAATAAGATGAGGTACAGGTGCTGGAAATCAGTTTACCAATAACACAATTTATCAAAGCAGTGATTTTGTTGCCCAACAGTCAATCCTATGGTATTTTTATCAAGAGTAAGCATATTCATTTAAGAATTCAAACTTGAGATAACTAGGTTAACCACTATTGGAAATAAGGTGTACTGTATATTTATAGTGGATGGTTTATTTGAAAATTGTAAAGCATATAATAATATAATACAATAGTTTCTTTGAAAAGTTTGTAATACTGTATATGATAATGTACTGGAATGGTTTTCCTAAAGCAGAGGGTTCTCAAACTGAGGTTTGTGTACCCCTAGTGTTTATATGTTCCAAGGTTGCTCTAAGGTTTACATGTACCAAGTTTGCTCTAAGGTTTACATGTTCCAAGATTGCTCTAGGTTTTGTGTGTTCCAAGGTTGTTCTAGGGTTTACATGTTCTAAGGTTGCTCTAGGGTTTATATGTTCCAAGATTGCTCTAGGTTTTGTGTGTTCCAAGGTTGTTCTAGGGTTTACATGTTCTAAGGTTGCTCTAGGGTTTACATGTTCTAAGGTTGCTCTAGGGTTTACATGTTCCAAGATTGCTCTAGGTTTTGTGTGTTCCAAGGTTGTTCTAGGGTTTACATGTTCTAAGGTTGCTCTAGGGTTTACATGTTCCAAGGTTGCTCTAGGGTTTACATGTTCCAAGGTTGCTCTAGGGTTTACATGTTCCAAGGTTGCTCTAGGGTTTACATGTTCCAAGGGTGCTCTAGGGTTTAAATGTTCCAAGATTGCTCTAGGGTTTACATGTTACAAGGTTGTTGCAGTGAATATATAATGTTTCAAGTTCACTCTAGTTGATGAAACAACGTTAGGACATTATATGTCCCAACCCATATGGTCACTAGAGCAACCTTGGAACATTGAAATGCAAGATAGAGCACTGAGTGAATGCATGTCCCAGTTTAATTATGCCTGACCTAGAAGGTAAAGACAGGATCTCATCTTTAAAAACAGACATTCAATTAATAATTGAAAGTGCTATCCATGAATCTCATATTATTTGCATTTAATTATTTAGAATTTTGAGAAGCTAAAGCTCATCATGTGTACTTTGACAGTAAACATTCTGACGATGGTAAAATTCATCATCCATCTCGAGATTACTGGGAACCAATCAAAGTATCGGGGGGACCATCAAGGGATGATCTCGGTCAACCACTCATCACTTCAGAAAATACCATAAAGTATTTGCCAGTGTATAAGATGCACTTTTTTATTTTTAAATGTATCAAAATTGCCCTGCATCTAATTCGGCCATATTACCGATGGGAGATCGAGCGCTGTAGGCTAGGGAGCTAGACGAGCATACTGGGTAAGTTCACTAGGCACAAAAGACGTTGCTAACAATAAAATATTGAAAACCAGCCAAATTATCACAGTAAATTATGTTACTAATAATAAAATATTGAAAACAAGTCAAATTATCATGGTCTGTTGTTACACACTTAGGAAAATTGCTTAGATACGTTGGCAGTTATGAGGGAAGTTTATATCATCTCACTTACCTATATCTTCTTACCCAGCATACATAACCCACACCTTGTATATGACTTACATTATTTAACGACTGTGTTACCTTTAAGAAAGCGTTGTTCTTTATTTAAATGAAAAATGCTCCTATAAATTTGAAAGGAATATTTATCTTTCATGCATCTGTCAGCCATTTCCATTGAGTGGATGACAACAAAACCATAGCGCTGCAATGGTGCACCACCCTGGTGGCCTGTCTCGGTAATGCAAAACATCATATCCAGAAATACTATACAGGCTGTGAAACTTGTAATTCTCTTGCCCAAAATATAAACAACTATACAGCTGCAGACGATGAGTTACAATAACGTGGCTGAAGATGTGAAGACTAAACCACACAAACTTTAGTCTTCAGCTATACAGCTGATCTCAAAAGAGGTAAATTTGCTAATAAAAAAAAATGCACAAAATATCCTTGTAAAATAGGGGTGGGTCTTATGCGAGGGTGTCTTTTATGCAAGCAATTTTATGCCAGCAGTAGTAATTACTCTGCTAGTGAATATTTTCACTTTGGTTTGCAAAATATCTGCTGGGAAAAGTATGATTTTTTTTTTTTTAATTCTTACTGCAATATAGACTGATCATGTGTGTTTTTTCATGTATTTTGTCAACATTGTTTTGAAAAATATAGAAGGAATGTTGAAAAATATTAGTAATGATGAAATTGCAATTAACATAAATATTTAGCACCATTGTGCATAATCTATTATGAACACATTTTGTTTTATATCTTTTTCTCAATCACATTTTTTTATGAATATTTTGACACCAAATTTATAGTTCTAACTCAGAAACTAAGAAAACAAAGAAATAATATAAACATTTTAGGCATCGCTGAGTGAGAGCTTGAGATGCCTGGAACATTTATATTCGAATACACCAGTGGGGGCAGAACGTCAAAGAGTTAAATGATTTCTTAATCATATAAATTATTTTTTCTGTCTAACAAGAGCACCACCAAGGTGCAAGAATTATTTCAGAAATCAGATTAGTATATGAAAGTAAAACAGATTTTTTGTTATTGGTAAGTTTGTTCAGCCAGTGGCATCAGTCGGTTTATTACAGGCCCAGCCAATTCCAACCGACCTTGTGGCTAAGCTGTTGGGCAACCGAGTTGCTGTGTCGCCAATTGTAACAGTGGAACCACGTAGACGCAAGTTCCATAAGCCCATTACCCTTACCATCCCAGTGCCTCAAGCCTCTAGCAAGGGAATGATCAACCAGTATTCCGGCGAAGCTCCGACCCTCCGTCTCCTTTGCTCCATCACTGGTGAGTATGATAATATATAGAATGTGTTCTGCTCTTTGGTGTATATTTGTGAAAAGTTTTCAGTTTATCTGTGTTTATGGGATGGTGACAGATGGGCTCTAATACTCTGGTAGCTTTTAATTTATTATTTGTCTAGGAATGCCTATCTCCTGTGTCACATTTTCTGAGGCTGATTATCTTTACATGTTCTATCAGGTCTTATCTCTATTTTCAATTGTAATATGGATGTGACTGTTTTTAATGCCTTTAGTAATTGGAATTGTGATAACTATTTGAAGAAATTTTGAAATTGGCTGAAAAAAGTAAAATCTTAAGAAGCCTAATTATTATTCAATCAAATATAATGCTAGAGATCAATGTTACATTTAGTAGAGCTTTGGTTTTTAGCATTATTTTGGTAATACTGTCTTACTTTGCCCTGTTTTTCTGCTCATATAAATAGGAATTTTCAAAGGCATTAATGAAAATCACAGGTTGCCACTACAATTAATAAATTTCTACATGAGGAACCTCTTACCCAAGCTTGCTTACATCTAGTATCTCCGCCTGTTTGAGGGTGTGTGAATATCTCTATTTTGAAACTATGGCTAACCCTTTCTACATAAATTTGAATGCCTTCATGATCATGAGTAAGATTTGGGTGGAAGGTTGTTTATATTAAAAGTCTTTGAATTGCAATCTTATGCTATTTTTGTGAAAGAGGAAAGCTATTTGTAGAGTGAAAGAAAGTGGTGAAGCTAATAGCTGTTGCGCCTTCAAACAAATGTGCACCTCACAGTAGAACCTCAATATTAACTTGTCATAATTATAATAATTATTATTTTATATATATATATATATATATATATATTAGTATATTTTGGTAGCAGTCTTTCCTGTAGACATATATTATTAAATATGACCGAAAAAGTAAGATTAATAATTCTAACATGAATTTTCTCAATCTTTCGTACATTACGCTTCACCGTTGGAGGTAAATCAAAAATCACTTCTCCAAAATTCATTTTTATTTCTAGTCTGACGCGACACGGGCGCGTTTCGTAAAACTTATTACATTTTCAAAGACTTCACAAATACACAACTGATTAGAACTTACGTATCTCTGATTTTATATCTACATTTGAGTGAGGTGGGAGGGGTGATGTGGCATTAACACAAGACAGAACAAGAGGGGATATTAATAGGGTATTAAAAGTATCAACACAAGACAGAACAGAAACAATGGGTATTGAATAGAAGTGTTTGTAGAAAGCCTATTGGTCCATATTTCTTGATGCTTCTATATTGGAGCGGAGTCTTGAGGTGGGTAGAATATAGTTGTGCAATAATTGGCTGTTGATTGCTGGTGTTGACTTCTTGATGTGTAGTGCCTCGCAAACGTCAAGCCGCCTGCTATCGCTGTATCTATCGATGATTTCTGTGTTGTTTACTAGGATTTCTCTGGCGATGGTTTGGTTATGGGAAGAGATTATATGTTCCTTAATGGAGCCCTGTTGTTTATGCATCGTTAAACGCCTAGAAAGAGATGTTGTCTTGCCTATATACTGGGTTTTTTGGAGCTTACAGTCCCCAAGTGGGCATTTGAAGGCATAGACGACGTTAGTCTCTTTTAAAGCGTTCTGTTTTGTGTCTGGAGAGTTTCTCATGAGTAGGCTGGCCGTTTTTCTGGTTTTATAGTAAATCGTCAGTTGTATCCTCTGATTTTTGTCTGTAGGGATAACGTTTCTATTAACAATATCTTTCAGGACCCTTTCCTCCGTTTTATGAGCTGTGGAAAAGAAGTTCCTGTAAAATAGTCTAATAGGGGGTATAGGTGTTGTGTTAGTTGTCTCTTCAGAGGTTGCATGGCTTTTCACTTTCCTTCTTATGATGTCTTCGATGAAACCATTGGAGAAGCCGTTATTGACTAGGACCTGCCTTACCCTACAGAGTTCTTCGTCGACTTGCTTCCATTCTGAGCTGTGGCTGAGAGCACGGTCGACGTATGCGTTAACAACACTCCTCTTGTACCTGTCAGGGCAGTCGCTGTTGGCATTTAGGCACATTCCTATGTTTGTTTCCTTAGTGTAGACTGCAGTGTGGAAACCTCCGCCCTTTTCCATGACTGTTACATCTAGAAAAGGCAGCTTCCCATCCTTTTCCGTCTCGTAAGTGAAACGCAGCACGGAACTCTGCTCAAATGCCTCCTTCAGCTCCTGCAGATGTCTGACATCAGGTACCTGTGTAAAAATGTCGTCAACATACCTGCAGTATATGGCCGGTTTCAAGTTCATGTCGACTAAGTCTTTTTGCTCGATGGTACCCATGTAGAAGTTTGCAAACAGGGCACCTAAAAAAACAGTTTTACGAAACGCGCCCGTGTCGCGTCAGACTAGAAATAAAAATGAATTTTGGAGAAGTGATTTTTGATTTACCTCCAACAGTGAAGCGTAATGTACGAAAGATTGAGAAAATTCGTGTTAGAATTATTAATCTTACTTTTTCGGTCATATTTAATAATATATATATATATATATATATATATATATATATATATATATATATATATATATATATATATATATATATATATATATATATATATATATATGTCGTACCTAGTAGCCAGAACTCACTTCTCAGCCTACTATGCAAGGCCCAATTTGCCTAATAAGCCAAGTTTTCATGAATTAATTGTTTTTCGACTACCTAACCTACCTAACCTAACCTAACCTAACTTTTTCGGCTACCTAACCTAACCTAACCTATAAAGATAGGTTAGGTTAGGTTAGGTAGGGTTGGTTAGGTTCGGTCATATATCTACGTTAATTTTAACTCCAATAAAAAAAAATTGACCTCATACATAATGAAATGGGTAGCTTTATCATTTCATAAGAAAAAAATTAGAGAAAATATATTAATTCATGAAAACTTGGCTTATTAGGCAAATCGGGCCTTGCATAGTAGGCCAAAAAGTGAGTTCTGGCTACTAGGTACGACATATATATATATATATATATATATATATATATATATATATATATATATATATATATATATATATATATATATATATATATATATATATATATATATATATATATAATAATAATAATTTATATTTATATTTGACAGTGTCAGACCACAAAGGAAGGATTAAGACAGGAATTTTCTTAAGTACTTTAGTTTTTAATAATACATCGTCAGAAGGATGGATTTACAGATCAGTAGGTTGGATATACTGTATAGGCGACTTGTCCAGCCAAACGCCGTCGCATGTTACCACATTGAGATAATGAAGAACAAAGCCCATCATGTTCATGTGATTTTACCTCATCTTTAGTTCGCGCCCATACTGTGCGTAGACGGGCTTCAGCTCCTTGTCCACAGTGTGCAACAATTCCTCACCTTGGTGCCGCTGTTACATCTTGCAGAAAACCAGGTGTACTTGTATGGAGTGACGGTGAAGATTTTGTTCCACTAATTATTGCCTTTGACAATAAAGATGTTGGGATTAGACCTTTTCCCTGAACAGTGTGAGTGCACCAAAAATTATATTTTTTCTCCTTGTTGACGTAACCATGCTGAACAGTTTCGATATGTATCCGGTGAAAACAGGTCAAAAACCCACATTCCATGTGTTTAGTTTTTGAGTAATAACACAATTACTAAAAAAGTTTGTATGTTAGGAATGTCTTTGCCAAAGACCCATTCAGAACCCAGTATTGCACCATGCTGCTACACCCAGGCTCACCTACAGGGAGGCCTGTCATGTACACAGAATAAAATATTTGCCACTAGCTGGAAAGCATGCAATTGGCCAGCATGCGTGCATTGTTTGTAAAACCACAGAAACGAGACCACAGAAACGTAAGGTGGTGCAAACTTGATGCTAAGTATGTGCAGTCACTTTGTGTCATATCAATTGATTTAACGACTACCAGTCTCAGTACTGAGGCGTTCACACCCGGGAATGTTGCCCAATATTGTTTTTTTAAATGGCGTCTGTGAGGAAGCTGATGTAAACCCTGTGTAGCTGCGGGACTTATAAATCTTGCGAAGTACTCCAAAACATTATATGAAGTGGTGAGCACTTTCGCGTCAGTTACTCAACACTCCATATGAAGGGTTGCGCAGTTTAAGGCTTAATATCCCATTATCTCATTAAAGACATTGTACCTCACCTCACCTCTTTCCTGCCTATATATCCACACCCACTGAACCGTAAATCCATCCTTCTGAAGATGTATTATTAAACACGAAAGTACTTAATGAAATTCCTGTCTTAATCTTTCCTTCGTGATCTGACAGTCATTTATTTATTTATTTATATATATATATGTCGTACCTAGTAGCCAGAACTCACTTCTCAGCCTACTATTCAAGGCCCGATTTGCCTAATAAGCCAAGTTTTACTGAATTAATATATTTTCTCTAATTTTTTTCTTATGAAATGATAAAGCTACCCATTTCATTATGTATGAGGTAATTTTTTTTTATTGGAGTTAAAATTAACGTAGATATATGACCGAACCTAACCAACCCTACCTAACCTAACCTAACCTATCTTTATAGGTTAGGTTAGGTTAGGTAGCCGAAAACGTTAGGTTAGGTTAGGTTAGGTAGGTTAGGTAGTCGAAAAAACATTAATTCATGAAAACTAGGCTTATTAGGCAAATTTGGCCTTGCATAGTAGGCTGAGAAGTGAGTTCTGGCTACTAGGTACGACATATATATATATATATATATATATATATATATATATATATATATATATATATATATATATATATATATATATATATATATATATATATATATATATATATATATATATATATATATATATATATATATATATATATATATATATATATATATATATATATATATGTCGTACCTAGTAGCCAGAACTCACTTCTCAGCCTACTATTCAAGGCCCGATTTGCCTAATAAGCCAAGTTTTCCTGAATTAATATATTTACTATAATTTTTTTCTTATGAAATGATAAAGCTACCCTTTTCACTATGTATGAGGTCATTTTTTTTTATTGGAGTTAAAATTAACGTAGATATATGACCGAACTTAACCAACCCTTCCTAACCTAACCTAACCTATATATATAGGTAAGGTTAGGTTAGGTAGCCAAAAAAAGCTAGGTTAGGTTAGGTAGGTTAGGTAGACGAAAAAACATTAATTCATGAAAACTTGGCTTATTAGGCAAATCGGGCCTTGCATAGTAGGCTGAGAAGTGAGTTCTGGCTAATAGGTACGACATATATATATATATATATATATATATATATATATATATATATATATATATATATATATATATATATATATATATATATATGTATATATATATATATATTAAAAAAAATAGAGCAGTAAGGCAGAAGAAAATAAATGCATTCAGTGTTTTGATATTAAAATTTAATTGGACAAAGAAATGTTTCTCTTTACAAGTGGTAGGGTAATTATTTGTTAAATTTCTTTATTTCCATATTCTTCTGTTGGTAGTAGCCTATTGAATATTTTTCATCAATCAAATATTATAAAATTTTCTGAGGGGTAACTCACAGTTGCTCAAGCACAATTTATTTCTTAATGATGCATCTTTCAGTTAACATATCATTATATGCAGTATAAGTGTAGTCCATTATTATTTATTAATATCAAGGCCTTATGATGTACAATATTTTCTTTTCAAAACTGCCCTACTTAGATATGCATCCGAGTTCTACTTGTCCATCAAAACAAATTAGCGTGAAAGATAATCACTGAACAAATTTATTATACAGTAGTGTGATCTATTAGTAGATGTTATACTAATCTGAATTTTTAGTGAAGTACATACAGTACTGACCTAAGCGTTCTTTTCTTTATAAAATTGTAAAGTGTTTAAGTTAACATTACTCTTTGATAAGACAGTGCTGTGTGACTTCATATTTTAAAACATGAAAGGATTTTAATTATAATAGGATAGAAAAATTATTGTAAGTGTGAATGCAGTGCCTTTCAATCAAAAACCAGGAAATCTCCTTCAGCATTTCTATACTCTCTATTGTAAAGTGTTTGTGTATGGTACAGTGTATCAGAAGAAGCTCGTTAGCTTCTTAACAAAATTTTTTAATGTTCCGCACTTATCTGTCCCCAATTCTCCCTCTTGTAGGTGGTTGTGTGTCACACATTGTAGGTTAGTTTAATTTCACAAACTCCTCATTATTTTCATATCCTAAGTTGTCTAAAACTTTAGTATCTTATCTTCGAATATATTTGTCATCAGTAAATTCTTGCTTTATATGTACATAATCCAATATCCTCTGTGCAGATACATATAACTGACAAATTCTGTAGGAACAAAGGGTTCACTTAATATATTCTATGTTTTCTGTAATATCACACTGTTTCTTTGTTTCACTCAAATGACTTCTTTTGTTGTGTCACGTAATCTAATGTAGCATTGTGTTATGGCTTTCTACTGACTCTTTCCACAAATGCATTTCATTTATTGCTTTAAATTTCCTATGAAAAAATTGTTGCTGACAGTCAGCATGGGAACATAATAACATAATGTGACAATACTAATTAAGTGAGAATCACAGTAACCCATGAGACATAAAGTTATATTGTACAGTCCTAATTCAATGGCAGCACAAAATAATAAATATTTGAGACCTACCAGTATACTGCTATTGTTAAAATGTTAACAGTACAGTACACTTCTGCTATTAGTATGTTAACAGTATACTCCTATTGTTAAAATGTTAACAATTCACTTTTACTGTTAAAATGGTGGTAGTACATTTCCATTGTTAGAACACAGTATTAATAATATGCTCGTAACTAAGACTCACACGGTAACTGATGAGGTAAGGGTGAGGCAGTTATCATACCATTTGTTTGCTCATTGAAGTCATTACACTATAACCAAGAGCTTTTTAGTATGCTACAATCACAGGAATTTCTTTTGAGAAATATAAATTATTTGAAAAATTAAAGCCTGTAGTGAAGCCCAAGACACACTTTGTAGTTATTTAGAATAAAATTAACCTTATCAGTAATTTTATAGATATATTTTATGCACTATAGCTCACAAAAAACTTTTCAATTGGTAATTTTGTGAGAGAAGGGCTTATGTTTGTGTTGTATGTGAGATTCATGTGTGTTGGTGAGGAATGTGTATGGTCTGCCTGGGAGACCCCCACCACTTGGGTGACAACACGGAAAGACCAACTCTGCTCTCCCACTGTTTGTTCTGCTTGGACGCTTCAACTTGTCAGTTTTGTTGAGGCAGTTTTATTGTTTTTGTCTCTGTACTGCAATATTTTCCCCTTCATTCTTTCTGACTTGTACATGATGTTCGAGACTGACCGTGACAAAGCTGACACTGGCTGAGCGCGGCTGGTTGGGGGGTGGCCAGCTCTTCCCAGTACATCTAGGGCTGGCAAGGCTTCATGTCATCAAACCTCTCAGAGAAACATAACTCAGCAAGTAGATACAATTACAGCATCGTTTTCTTAAGTATTGTATCTTATTGGAAGCCTATCAAAATACAGATGTTTGATTCTCACTCAGAAAGTGTTTTGAAGCTGTAATGCCCTGATTTTTCGTCTAGAGGCAGATACTGTATAAGGCAATGCCTTACCAGTTTAACTTTTCTTATTGGTAGACGCAAGGGTTAGAGCAGTATTCATAGAATGCTTTGGAGTAAAGAGATGTTGTTGAAATAGACCAATGCCAACTAATGCATTTTAATTATTTTCTGGTGTTGCTTACACTGCCATAGCATTATTATTGAAGACATGGTCAATCTTTTTCTATTGAAAATGTTGATGAAATTCACTAAGATTTTTAACTATTGTTAGCAACATTATAGCACTGAAGCAGGAGTTGGTATTAATGTCTCGTTTGTACGTCTCTTAACCTTAGTGCATTTTGTGAATAGGGCCAGAGGTATATGAACAGATGTACCAATGGGGTTCTGAACTCTCTCTCTGTAGTAGGTTGAAATCCCCAATGTTTTTTCCTAGGGGTTCATTAATACCAGAAGCAGTGTAGTATTGACTTAGCAGTTTATTAAAATAGATTAGTGCTTGTGGAAGTATGAGCCATGTATCCTTCTCAGTCCATGTAGAGAGAAAATAATAGAGGATCCACAGTTTCTGCATCTCTTAATTTAAATTAATGTTTACATCATGTAAAAGTCATTTTCAATATAAAACCTTGATCATACCTGAGCCCGTTGACCCAAAAATTCCCCAGCACTGTATGGTAGAAAGTAACATCAGTTATCCAGTTTTAGGCTTGTCCCTTGACAGTGTGTTGAAAAATTTCGTATAAATATTTTTATATCTGATATACCCTTGCCTTTTAATCAGAATTTAACTTAAGATATTTAACTAAACTATAATTGGATTCGTTTCCCCAAACCTTTCTCACGTACTAACCAAGAAACACTTCTACTCTTGTTATGCTGCACATGTGGGCCTCTTCTGTAGGGGTGTTTCGGAAAAGATCTTTGAAAGGTAAAAATTCAGCTCCAAAAGAAAAGGAATGGGCATCTGGGTGCAATCTTTAAGTTGTCTTTTTAATGCTGATACTGTTTTGTTTTTTCTGCCATAACGCCCCTAACTGTGGTCTCTGTAATCCTCTTGAGTACTGTAAATACTGTATGGTAATTTTCATAGCATTTATTTTTATACTTCAAAACTAATGCTATGTATAGAAAAGTATACTTATAACTGCCCATCTAAATGGATATTTTGTTAATGGAAATTTCCATACATTACAGATTATGCTCAAGTTTAATGTTGTGCCTTGCAGTTTTGAGCAATATAAAAAGAAAGAGTGGAATGCCCCCAAATCACTTGTTACTATTACCTCCAGTGCCACTCCTGCTTTCCTCTGTTACTGTTTCTACAACCACTATTATTTACACACTACCACAACTGTTCTTACAACCACTATTACAACTGTTACTGTAACGGCTAACTTTACTATTATTACAACCACTACCACAACTTCTTGCATAACCTCTACACAGCATTTATTACAACCACTAAGACAACTGGTTTTATAACCTGTACCACAGCATTTATTACAACCACTACCACCATTCTTACTATAACCACAATTATTACTCCAACCACCACAACAACTCATACTACAATCACTAAAACAACTCATACTTCAACCCCTATTAAAACTCATACTACAACCACTCCCACAACACTTTCCATAACTACCACAATCATTATTACCTCCACTACCATGAATATTAGTACAACCACTATCACAACTGTTGCTACAATCGCTACCACAACTATAACTTATTACTACCACTGCACAAACTGTTACTACAACTATCAATGCATAACCACTATGCAACCACTGCTGTTAGTACAACCACTACCTCAACTACTATCACAACCACTACCTCAACTACTATCACAACCACTACCACAATTGTACTGTAACCACTATCACTATTGTACTGTAACCACTACCACAAGTGTACTATAATCACTACCACAATTCTACTATAATTACTACCACAATTCTACTGTAGCCACTACCACAATTCTACTGTAGCCACTACCACAATCCACCACAGTTGTACTATAACCACCACCACAGTTGTACTATAACCACCACCACAGTTGTACTATAACCACCACCACAGTTGTACTATAACCACCACCACAATTGTACTATAACCACCACCACAATTGTACTATAACCACCACCACAATTGTACTATAACCACCACCACAATTGTACTATAACCACCACCACAATTGTACTATAACCACCACCACAATTGTACTATAACCACCACCACAATTGTACTATAACCACCACCACAATTGTATTATAACCACCACCACAATTGTACTATAACCACCACCACAATTGTACTATAACCACCACCACAATTGTACTATAACCACCACCACAATTGTACTATAACCACCACCACAATTGTACTATAACCACCACCACAATTGTACTATAACCACCACCACAATTGTACTATAACCACCACCACAATTGTACTATAACCACCACCACAATTGTACTATAACCACCACCACAATTGTACTATAACCACCACCACAATTGTACTATAACCACCACCACACCATCCCAATTGTAATCCACTATCACAATTGTAATATTACCACTACCACAATTGTTACTTCAAACACTACCACAATTGTTACTTCAAACACTACCACAATTGCAAGTACAAACACTACCACAATTGCAGGTACAAACACTACCATAAATATTACAACATCTACCACAACTCCTACAACAACTATCAAAACCATAACTATTACTGCAACTACAACAATTGTTATTACAACCACTACCACAACTGTTTATACAAATCGTTGAAAACGACAAGGTTTTTTTATTTATGATTCTAGCACGAATCTTTTCGATATCCGTATGTTGTTCTTCACTGAAGCAGGAAGATTAAAAATTAACTCTACAAAGATCATTTTTACTTATAATTTGTGGCTGACATCTAGTCATGCGTTTCGTAAGGTCTCGCCTCACATTCTCAAAGACAAATTCTTCTGTGTTAGCACATAATTATATCCTCTAATGGTGAGGTGTTAGGTGACATAGATGAATGATATATATACCTACCACCTCACCATTAGAGGATATAATCAGGTGCTAACACAGAAGAATTTGTCTGAGAATGTAAGGTGAGACCTTATGAAACGCATCACTCGGCACCAGACCCAAATAATAAGTAAAAATTTGACTAATTAATTAATTTGACTACGTTAATTAATAAGAAATTAACTTGACCACTATATATATATATAGTGGTCTGAAAAGTGTCTATATACTATACAGTATACTGTATATAGTGTCTATAATGGTTATATAATAGTCGGTCTCATTTCTTTCAATGTTTGCTGATGATTGAAAAAATTATGAGGAAGATTAAGACCGAGGAAGATAGCAAGAGGCTACAAGATGACCTAGACAAACTGAAGGAATAATCCAACAAATAGCTACTAAAGTTCAACCCAGGTAATTGTAAGGCAATGAAAAAAAGGTGGAGGGAACAGGCCAGACATAGGGTACCGAATGGGAGACAAAGTCCTCCATGAAATGGAGAGAGAGAAAGATCTAGGGGGTTGGTATCACACGGAACATTTCTCTTGAAGCCCACATCAAAGAATGTAATCAGCGGTGTAAGCAAGTTTGGATAACATCAGAACTGCCTTTAGAAGCTTGTGTAAGGAATCATTTAGAACCTTGTACACCAAATGTGTGGGACCAACCCTGGAGTATCCATCGCCAGCATGGAGCTCATACCTTGTCAATCATAATACGAAACTAAAGGAGGTTCAAAGGTATGCCACCAGATTAGTCCCAGAACTAAGAGGTATGAGTTGCGAGGAAAGGCTGCATGAATTGCACCTCACGTTGTTGGAAGACAGAATAGTTTGAGGATTTATGATATTTGAATGCAGAATTTTCAAGGAAATTGGCAGGGTGGATAAGGACATGATAACATGGGTGGTAATTGCACAAGGGGACACAGGTGGAAACCAAGTGCCCAAATGAGCCACAGCGACATTAGAATGAAAGAGAAAGTATTTTGAAGTGATGTGGTGAAGGCAGACTCCATACAGTTTAAAAATAGATATGATCGAGCTTATAATAAGGCCCAGGAACCTTATGAACATGTTTGCTGATGATGGTAAGATAATAGGGAAGATAAGAAACTTAAATGATTGTCATGCCCTTCAAGAAGACCTGGACAAAATAAGTATATGGAGCACCACTTGGCAAATGGAACTTAATGTAAATAAATGCCATGTTATGGAATGTGGAATAGGAGAACATAGACCCCACACAACGTATAAATTATGTGAGAAATCTTTAAAGAATTCTGATAAAGAAAGAGATCTAGGGATGGTTCTAGATAAAACCTGTCACCTGAGGACCACATTAAGAACATTGTTCAAGGAGCCTATGTTACACTTTTTAACTTCAGAATTGCTTTTAAATACATGGATGGAGAAATACTAAAGAAATTGTTCATGACTTTTGTTACACCAAAGCTGGAATATGCAGTGATTGTATGGTGCCCATATCTTAAGAAGCACATCAACAAACTGGAAAAGGTGCAAAGACATGCAACTAAGTGGCTCCCAGAACTGAAGGACAAGAGCTACGAGGAGAGGTTAGAGACACTAAATATGCAAAAACTAGAAGATAGAAGAAAAGAGGTGATATGATCATTACGTACAAAATAGTAACAGGAATCAATAAAATTGATAGGAAAGAATTCCTGAAACCTGGAACTTCAAGAACAAGAGGTCATAGATTTAAATTAACGAAACAAAGCTGCCGGAGAAATATAAGAAAATTCACTTTTGCAAACAGAATGGTAGACGGTTGGAACACTTTAGGTGAGAAGGTGGTGGAGGTCAAAACTGTCAGCAATTTCAAAGCGTTATATGACAGTGTGCTGGGAAGACGGGACACCACGAGCCTCATCCTGTAACTTCACTTAGGTAGTTACAATTAGGTAATTACCAGTAGATTGACATTTGAGAGGCGAGACCACAGAGCAGGAGCTTAACCCCTGCAAGCACAACTAGGCGAGTACTATGCCAAAATCACTGAGACATTAGAAGAAAAAATAGAATGCAAATGTTGTATACACGGCTTTGCAAAGGCATTTGATAAATGTGACCTGGAGTGATAGCCCACAAAATGAGGTCAATAGGAATAACAGGTAAAATAGAACAATGGATATTAAGTTTCCTGTCAAAGAGAATGCAAATTGTAATAGTTAATCAAATATAGTTGAATTCAAGTGCAGCTAAGAGCTCTGTACCTCAATGGTTCTTGCACCACTGCTTTCCCTTATTCTCTCATCAGATATAGACAAAAATACAAGTCACAGTTATGTATCGTTTTTTACAAATGACAAATCAGCATGAAATTTATTTCTGTTGAAGACATTGAAAACGGCAAGCAGATATTAATAAAGTTTTAGATTGGGCTTCAGAAAATAACATGATGATTAACAGTGATAAATTACAGGGACTTAAGTACAGTAAACAAGGAAGGCCTTAAACAAAATACAGGGTACAAAACATAATCAAATTTGCTCATACAAGTAGTAGGAAATCGGCATGTTAACGATATGGGAATAATGATGTCTAACAACCTAATGTTTCGGGAGCATAACCAAGCAAATCTAGTGTCAGCCAGTAAAATTATAGGATTCATTACAAGAACCTTCAAATCCAGGGATCCGATCACAATGGTTGTACAGTACTGTTCAAATCAATTGTGCTGTCCTGTTTTGAGTACTGCTCATTATTCGCTCCCCTCTTCAGAGCAGGAGGGATTGCTGAAATAGAGGGGATACAAAGAACATATACAGCATACATAGACACGATAAAGCACCTAAACTATTGGGACTGTCTCAAAGTTCTCCAAATGTACTCTCTAGAAAGGAGATTAGAGAAATATCAAG